AACAGAGTTCTCATGAGATGTAGGTTGACGGAACATTTAAAAAAGGAAAGCTACAAGGTGAGCGATTTTCATTCATCCTCATAGTTAGAGCCGACCTGTGACAAAGAAGCTGTCACAGGTCGGCTCTATTGATCAGGAAGTGAGCAGAAACATGCCGCCGATCCGCTCACTTCCTGATTGTCTCCCTGCAGTGAGTGGTGACTGTAAGTCACTGCTCCCCGCAGGGATTCCCCCTCCCTGATCCTCCATCTGAGTGGAGGAACGAACGGGGGAGGGGGCGGGCACAGCTGGCTCTGCCTCTAGATAGGGAGAGCCAGCTGTCACTCAAGCAACTGGGTGGATCTCGACAGTATTGTAGGGATCCATCCCGGCTGCGGCGCTCTTAAGTATATCACGGATACTGAGCTTTGGCGTCAGAGAATCACCTGCAAAACCATACAGTGCTTGGACCAAACAAAATATCCATGGTGCTCGAAATAACGACACGAATGGCGCCGTGTAACAATCAAAGTAAAGATAGTAGTCACCTGCACTAAAGCACTGAGTGCTGGTGACTACTACTATCATTACTTATACTGAGCTTTGAGTCACGGGAGGAGGTTAGTATATGTCCTCCCGTGACCCTAAAGAGAACTATGGGGAAAAAACGTACCCCATAGTTCTCTTTTAACTGACAAAGCTAAACAGAAAAAAATAATATAATTATGGATTACAGTTGTGCAATCAACTCAGATGCACTTAGAGTAAAAAGTGAAGAGATGGCAGAAGACACGTTCTAATGTCATGTGCTTGGCACCGACTCTGAAGGCAGTACACAGCGACAGACTTAGATATAGGAACTACTTGAGTATTCCAAGTCCTGCCATTCAGATACAAGCCTGAACCTGAAAGCAACAATAGTTAATCTGTCAGCCTATATTAATTGAGAAAAGTAGTCACTGTGCTGTTTGGCATCATTATGTGCACCCAACTGAGCATGGACCAGAAAAATAAAAAAAGAGTTGTCTAAGGAGATCAGAAATAAAATAATAGACCAGCATGTCAAAGATAAAGGCTATAACACCATCATCTAGTAGCTTGATGTTCCTGTGACTACAGTTTGCTCCCATTCACATGTTTTAGACGCTATTTGAAGCACTTATATGTAAATTTTTGCATCTATTTCTACTCTCAAATGTGCTTTTTTCCAAACTCCAGGTGTTTTTGTTTTGGTCGATGGAAAGCAGCAGCATCTGTGACATCATATGTCACTGTCATTCTTGTATCTACTTCCTGGTTTTTCAGTGTGTTGTGAAATCTTTTGCTATCAGAGCTCCAGGAGTCCAGGAAAACTTCATGCCCAAATTTTTCCCAAGCTATCTGTCCCATGCCACGGTTCTTGCAATGGGCATCACTGGGGTCCTAATTCTTGTGGAACCTCACCACCTAAAATGCAAGTCTCTACATCCACAATGGACACTCCTGAATCCTTAATTTTGCTCACAGACCTGTGGTTGCTAGAAGGTGCAGTTGTTAGGTACAAAATGAGAAAAAAATGCATGAAAAATGCACTTAATACACTTGTGTTGGGTGTTTTCAAGTGCTCCCATTAAAGTCTAAGGGGCCAAAAGAGAAATACTGCTATATATGGGGATAGCTGACCAGTGGAGTGTGGAGTACCTGCAAATTCAATTAGTTTGCGATAGCTATTTTTATGACAAATGCACCTTATGTGATTTTAAACTTTGTTGTAATAAACAAAAATTGTGTTTTATACATTTTATTGTGTGTCAGTACCTCAGAAGAGTGAATTGTTCTCTGTAAAGGACAAAGAGAGAGTGTACATCTAAATAGCAAGAACGCAAACAGCAATACAAATGACAGGGGTTTTAACTGTTCCCAGCTCTATTCAAATCTAACCTGCATTGAATCAAACTCAGGACAAGTTGAATACATCAAGCAAATGGCTGAGACCATTGAAAATCCATTATGGAGCCCTGTAGTACTCATCGAAACTGAATGCCCTATTCACCTGTGCCATTTTGAAATAGCTTGGTTACATAAACCCTACTTTCTTAGGAAGCTGACCAGAAAAAAAATATATACATACAAATGCTACTGCATTAAGAGGTATCCTCATGCAGCCAAATTGTACCCTTGAGTAAAATGTACCCTCAATACAAACCCTTTATAGAGCTCTGTGGTTGTCATAAATGCTGTGTTTCAATCCAATTACATCGACCTGCACCAGGTCTGAAATATCTCGGCCATACGCATACAGTATATGCTACTGGAAGAGGTATCTTTATTCAGCAAACCTTGAGTTATACATTATCTCTTTTGATGTACATGCACTTTTGAAGGCCAATTCAAGACAAGTGAAACCAGTTAGTTTGCTACTATTGCTATCCAACAAACAGTGCAAGTGTACTAAAATTTGAAAATGTGTGCATTCTGCCATAAACGGGAACTCCCCTTTTGTTTAAAGCAAATGATCAAATACTTATAATTGATACAACAGTATTTTTGTAATGTATTATTCATAGAAATGACCCCTTTAGTTCAGTCTGCAGCCAGCTGTGATTTTCCAAAATTGATTTAAACAAAATTCAAAACAAGGCTTCTTCCTTGTAAGGAACACTGATAAACTTGTTTGTGTTAACTGACTACAGTGCAAACAGGTGTGGCAAGCCTGCCACCGTTCATTTCTATGTAGAGGTTACACCTGTTTAAATTATGCACCTTTTTTTTTTTTTAAATGCTTGGAGGTCAGGATTTGGAGTCATTCACACAGGTGTGCACAGGCGGGGGACGGGTTTGGCGTGTAAGTGAGTGCACGCACCTGCGCGCTGTACCTACACAAGCATGCAGGACTCGGTGCCCACAGTTGGACGCAGACCGTTCGGGTCAGCATGTAGACACATCCTGGGATGTGCAGGCAGCTGCATCCAATTACACTCCATACCTGTCCCTCCCAGGAGAAGGTCTGTGCAAGGGCACGCCCATATGAATAAGCCCTTAAGGATAATATATAGAGATAGATTTTTTTTTTTAAAAACAGGTTGCTCTGTAATGGCCCATACAGTTTACTTTGTTTTGTGAAGTAGAGGCAAAACTTATGGAGCCTTTATATTATCTAAATTTATCTGATCATCAATGGGCCTAAGGGCCCATTCACACTATGCATTCTGTTAATGAAAGTGAGCAACACATTATTGTATCTTATGCGGAGCTGTGTTTAGGAAGTTTTGAATAGGCTGGCAGCACAAAAAGGGACCAGACCCTGACAAAGATAACAATGACGGTTTCTCTACTACATGCAAACCGGAGAAAAAAACTATTTGGTGGGCGTTTCACTTGAACAAGGAAGAAAAATATTCAATTAAATGAAAAAGTCTTACCATGGGTCTATACAATGACTACATACCCTGTTTCCCCGAAAATAAGACCTACCCTGAAAATAAGACCTAGTACTATTTTTTGGGAATTCTTAAAATATAAGACCTAGCCCGAAAATAAGACATAGTTGTGACCTTTCCCAGGGCCGGTGGTGGCAGAAGGGGAAACTTGAAGAGCCGCGGGAGAGAATCGGCGATGCCAGCGCTAGAGGAAGCGAGGCGGCAGCGGAGGGAGCAGAGCCGCATAAGGTATTCCCATTTATATGGTACGCTTCTTTGCTAGCAAAATGTTAACAGTGAGCTTTGTAACACTACTCTGCATTTGATCAAATTAAATCCATTAATGTCCTATATGCCATGTGGAAGGCTTCATTGTACTGTATGATTCCGTTTCGATTTACTGCAAATACAATAATAATAATCATCATAATAATAGCATTTCCAATAAGAAAATAGTAGGGTATAATGGGTCTTCTCATTCTCATCCACTTCTCATTGTCATGTGGAATATTTGCAAGTCTGCCACAATTGCTAATGCACGTGCACAGTGGCAGAACTACCAGGGTCACAGTGGTCGCAGCTGCGACCGGGCCCTGGAGGGGCCTTAGGACAGGAGGAAGGGGCCCATGGTAACCGCTGATTACCAGGATATTTAATATCCCGGTAACCGCTAATGTCAGTCCCGGGACCTCTTCCTCCTGTCCTGGGCCCTACATGCTTCACACTGCTCCCCTCACGGGCGCAGCATGAAGTATAATCGAGTCGGCGCAGCAGCCAATGAGTGGGAAGCGGGTGATTTTATGAAAGATACTGATGTGAGCAGTTGTCACTTTCAAGTTTTCCTGTATTTAGTGCAGACAGATACACTACCATACTTTTGTAGAGCAATCGCCTTGTCCTATATAGTTTCATTTTTCAGATTGTAAGCCCTCAGGGGCAGGGCCCTCCTTACTATCCTGTTTTGAATTGTATTGTAATTGTAATGTCTTCCTTACATTGTAAAGCGCTGTGCAAACTGTTGGCGCTATATAAATACTATGTAATAATAATAATAATAATTTTGATGCACTGGGCCCATCTGTGTTTAATCCAAGTGTCTAAAAACAGCCTATAGTTTAAGCATAACTGAAGCATCTATAAGAAGGCAAGAGTGCAATTAACTATTATTAAGCCAATAGCAGCATGTGATGTTTTTTTTAAATAAAAATCGGAACCTCCTTTTTACCCTTGTTGAAATAAGAGCACTGTGCATGGCGCTGTGCTGATCCTCCCCACGTCCTCTGTGCGCAAGAGTGCCATAGCTGCACACACAGTAGCGGACAGAGCCAGAGTTGGACACTGTAGCATTACATAATAATCTGCATATTGCTAAAGGAATACTGAAATTGGGTAAATAACCTATTTATTTAAAATATATTCATGTAAAAAGGACAAAGTTTGAATTGTTTTAAAAAAGAATAGGTGCTGTGAATTATTTTCAGCAGAGGGCTCTTTAGGGGGCACCTTCTAGGCCCAGCATTTTAAAACTAATGGATGTTCTGAAAAATAATGATAGGCATTAGGTTATTTGATCTCTTATAACCTGTTCTGATGTGAAAACAACTGTCAGGTATTTGTACTTACTCTCTGGCTGTTTCTCATTGGGTGTTATCGATCGCACAAAATCTTGAGGAGTCATAAATACTTCATGTTCCCCACTCTCGTGTATCACTTTCAGGGTGGCAAAATAGCGGAAGATTTTGTCTGGAGTTGAATAGGCTCGAATTCTGTTTTCATATTCCATCACCTACCATAAAACAAAGCAAAACAAAAATGATAATCAAAAGATAGGTGTTCTGCAGTGTGAGTTAATACAGCATTATGCTAAAGTGATACAGAGCTGGGGGCAGAACTGAGATGAATCCAAATTAGTCTTGGGAATTTTAGCATGTAGGCAAAAAAACTCTTAGGTACATTAATACTATACAGTGTATAGGACGTGAGGACGCCAAGGGACATTCCATCACTTGAGGAGAGAGGCTGCAGGGACCAGTCTAAAAGCCAGCTGGATATGAGGTTCAGCGAGTTATTTTTGTACCTAGACAAAAATGAGCACTTAACCCTTGCAGTGTGGCGGTGGCCCCACTGCAAGGGTTAATATTATTTTTGCCCAGACTTCTTCTTTAAGTCAAATGATATTTAACCTGTTCCTTTAATGCAAAAAAAAGTTCAATCCATTTTTTCATACATCTTACTTCAAGAAATCATACCTGCAAGGTGTATCCACAGGAACTTTCTGTCCTAGGGTGACAATGTTCACTAAATTCAGAGGCAACGCCTCACTTTCCTGCACACATTCAACTACAAGCAGCAATGCCAAAGCACGATGTCATGCTACAAAAACAGTTGCTCTGCTGCTACTGCAGGACATACATATTTGCAGGAAGTTCATACAAACTGCATACTGGATATACACGATGCAGAAAGAGAAAACATGAACAAAGTAAGGGGCAAACTGCATTTCTGTAATACAAAATAATGCAATTCTGTTTTACTTACAGTGCTCTACAAAACTAAGTGTTTTTTTTGTTAGAGTTTAAATTCCACCTTAAACTAAAAAAAAAAAAAAAAAAGATATTTCTCTTTGTTGCAGAAAACAGATCAGCATTACCCGCTGTTACTTAGTAGTCTGATAAATTATGTTATATCTTACAATGTGTTCTCATCTTGCAGTTTATGTTTATGGCTGTGAACATCTAAATATGATAAAAAAAAGAAAGTGCCAAGCAAATTCTCTTTATCACAGCTATTTCTTGCTAAAAATGAAGATGCCATTACTAAACCTATAAATTTAAACTGTGCTGCAGTGCAGGTGATCATACCATTCGCTGTAGGTTTTTTAATGGAGGTCGTTTGATATGCCCTTTAGTCTATTTCTGCCTAAGTAGTGGGCATCTATCATAAGTGAAAAGCCCTTGGAGCAGATGTCTATATTTTACAGGGAAGCAATACAGCTACACACATTATAAGCAGTTTCTCAAATTTCTCACAAGGTTCTCCCAAATCCACTCAAAGAAACATAAGTGCAACCAAACCATCATCCATCATGGTACAAAATAATATGAAATTTTGCAATTTATGAAAAGCGTTGTATATGTTTTTGCAAATCCAAACCTAAAAAGTACTTTAAAGATAGATTTGCCATCTTATATGGGGAAAATCTAGAAATGTTAATAGTGCCTACGCAGTACCTTAAAAATGTACCTTTCCCCTACTAACAATTAGTAGTGCACTGCCTGACATGAACTGTGCCTAGGCACTGCTGTTGTGTAGCCTACTGTTAAATAATTTAAGGACTGCTGCCTCTGACTGCTAGTCTCCCAAGATTTGGAGTGAGATTTGGTGGGTGTCACTACTGTGCTGATCACTGTTCCCCCTGGCAATCCTTCAGCCCAGAAACAATGAGTGGACACAGTCCTGCATGCACAATCAAACATGGATTGAAGCAGTGGAAGCATGCTTGAGCATGGAAGCAGTTCCTTACTCCTCCCTAACCAAGGCCGACATGTATAACAAGATAGAGGAAACTCACCGCAAAGACCTGCAGGCAGTGCGTAATGGACTGATAAAGGAAAGTCCGATACCTCTGCACTGGTCTCTAGGTTTCCAACTTTGGTGCAGTCCCAGGCAACAAATTCCCAGTGCATAGCCTCCATCTAGCTCCATGTAAAGGATTTGGAGGACCAGAGCCACTGCAACAACATGCTGCACAGATCACTCTTGTGGCCTCTTCTGGACAAACTAAGGTAGGCAGAGACAGATAGCTGGGGCTTTCCATTTCATTTAATCATCAGGAAAAACCCACCTTTTTCCGTTTGAGGAATCCAACAGACATTGAACGGGTCTGGCTGCAGCAAATACCGCTACAGTCCCCATGGCAAAGGATCTAACTCACAAGTCAGAAGCCACGTGAGAAGCAACCATTTATGGAATGTCCTCCTAGCGAAGACCAACAAGGCCTAGAAAATGCCATAAGACGCCACTTACAGACTGTACTTCATCACTGTCCCTGAAAAGACAGTGCCACAGCCCTGCCCAATATCGCTTATGGGACCCCCTTGGCCCCTGACTCTCTGACTTTTCCCTGTTAAGGGCCCCATACCCACCTGCTATATGTGATTATCTATCTGGGACTTGTGTTCCGAACATGCCACATTAGCCCCCTCTTTACCAGACACCCTCCAGTCCGGCCACCCAAAGAGAATATGCACCCAAAATTAGCACACTGGCATCTCTTGAAAGGGTCCAACAGGTGTCGGGGGTTAGGTCGCAGTTACCAGCAGGACAACGGAAAACTCTGTTTATACTCTTAGGGAAGTTAATAAAAATTCTCGTGCATTGTTAATATTATCAATCTTACTTACATGATGATGATATGTTAAAATATGGAGATCTATGTATGCAGGGGTAGCATACTTTTCGAACCAGGTGGAAACCCTTTGCTGGACTGATAATTTAGAGGGGACTACACACACCCTACTGGGCCCGATTTACACCACGGGGGGCTGAACTGGGATGCCCCCCCTCTCTGATATCTTCTGCAGGGTAAACAAATTTCTTAGGATTGTGGCTGTTAAGTTGTACTACTAAATTTGCTTTGTTTTTTAATGTTATGTAACAGGTCAATGAGAGCACTAGTTCTTCACAAGGTGCCGGGTAGGGGAGGGATAAGCTGGCAACTAATGTACCATGCAACACCCTTACACAGGCCTCCACTTACAGGGCCTACATAGCCCTTTACAATGAGTGCACAAGAAGCTCCTTTCTAACTTTGTTACCTACATACCCTAGTTACACCCCCATCTATTCCACATATCCAAGCCCCACCAACTTAGGGGCCACCTACCTAATCTTCTTTAATCACAACACCCAATGAGGTAATCCATGTGAACCACAGAGTCTATTTTTTTTTTAAATAACGTCAATCGGTGTGCACATGGATAAAATACAACGCAAGTGAACTATTAGCAAGAAAGTAATATTGTTCACTTGTAAAGAAAAGTTGTTTTTTTAAAGTCTAAAAAACTAAATAAACACCTAAAACGCTGTGTGTTTGGACTAACCCGTTACCTCCCGCAGGGTCCCACGCGGTCGGGTGGTCTCCTTGTGCAGCCGGAGACCAGGCGTGCTGCTGCTTCGCTGTTCTTCGCTGTGTCTGCTCTTCCCTTCATCCAAAGCCCAGCAGGAAGAGGCACACACGCGTACTGGACCGCCTCTTAAAAGAGACAGTGCACGCCTCTTCAAGCAAGTGGTCTGTCCTTGGAAAGGATGTCATCTCATCGCCAACAGGTATATAAGCAGGAAGGGTGAGTCATTCTGTGCTTGGTTATTGTTAAGCTTATCCTTTCAGTGCCTAGCGTTATACCCATTTTGTTTCCCGTTACTGACCTCTGGCCTCTTCATTGAACCCAATACTTTGCTGCCTGCCCCGACCTCTGCTACGTTGTACGACTTCGATTCCCGATTCTGATTCTACTACCATGCTCTTGGACTGCCTCTGTACTGGCTACCACTAAGCAGGAGATTGTGCGTTGTCCTAGTCTACTTGAGTAGAGGTACCAATCGTACTGGCAAGTCCCCCGCGTCTGGGCTCCTACCATCACCAACCTGATAGTGTGAACCATTGTTCTAAATAAAAATATATTTAAAAAAATTGAATGCAAATACAAAAATGTACATAATTTTAAAAATAATTTATAAAAAATACTGTGGTCTAGCTGTAGACAAATTTTCAGGTAGCTATTTTTCACAATGCTTTCATATGTTAAAGGAGATGAACACATGTTCTACAATATAATTATATAATTCATATTACCACCTTATATTAGGCCTCATTTAAGAAAATCTACTGCTTTTCAGAGGTGTGTGTATGTGTGTGTGTGCAATGGTCAGTGATCTGCAAGATAAAATCAATAATCTAATGATGAATATGCTGCCGACACAGCACTACAACTAAATCTGCAATGTAAATCTGTACTATGATAATTTACTACATAATGTAAAGTGGATTTCAGTTTGAATATTTCATAAAATACACACACATATTAATGATCAGATATTTGATATCACAGAATTCACCTCCCAGTTGCACCAGCAATGGTGCAGGGGACCAAACATTACATAAAACTCAATGGTCCTTTTGGGGTAGTTACTGATTTATGAATTATGTCAAGCTCTGTGTAATTTGTCAACACTACATACAGTACATGTATAAAGTAAATAAATAGGACCTTTCAGGGACAGTAATCTACTCGTTTAGATAACTGATCTATTTTCTGGATAGAGAAAAATAAGACACAAACATCCTCAAACAGTTCAGTTTTGCGTCTGCGTGGGATATTTAGACACAATGTAAGAGCCACTGAGGGTAATTAGGTGTTTAATCATCAGTATATGTTAGTATGCATCAATATATGTTTGTATATGCCTTCTTACTTCAGCTTCAGTTCCACTGATGATTTATATCACAAAGTAATTTTATTGCACTGCTCTAGTTATAAATAGACCATTCCTATTAAGACTGATGCAGTACACTGCACAAAGGGGGAGACACCAGAATGTTTTATGATGCTATGCATATTACATAAACACAATTAAATCAATACACCAAAACATGTACATGGTGTGGCAAATACAATGCATAAAATATAATGCAATAAAGTAAGGAAAAGTAAAATTGCTTTGAAGAAAATAATATAAAATTTCTGCTGCCGGTACTATTCTGAGAATGTAATTTCAGTTTTCATTACCGGACTTATAATTTAGAAGGAAGCTGAAAGAGCTAAACAAGAATACATGCATTTTAAATCACCAGGTTTAACAATCCAGAATTTGAAAGTGTTGTGAGTCAAAGATTGCAGCCATGTTTGAACTTTATTTATAGTGGCAGTTCTTTCAGTTTTAGGACTTTAGCTATATACCCGTTTGCCACCTAGCAACCCATTAGAACTCAAGTTACTAAAGCTAGACCAGTACAAGATGAATAGTCACCTGTAACTACAGGTACGAAAATGTATGGTTTGGGGGGTATTTTACCAAATCTAAAAGCTGTAGTGGAAAATAAAAAAAATAGCAAAAATGGTCTGGCCAGCTGGAGTCAAAAGTGGAGTGCAGGGCCTGGCAGCATAAGGTTTACAGTAGAGAAAGATTGAAGGCAATTTTATTCAATATCGTGCTAAGATTTCAAAAAAGAAATACCTTACGATCCCTAAATCCTGTACGTTGCTTCTTCTTCTTGCCCTCCTCTGGATGTTGTTCATCATCACTTGACTCAACAGCCTGATCCTCAACATTCTCCCGGTCTTCATCCTCCTTTCCCTTGGCATGGGATTCATTTTTCAAGTTGTGTTTCACTGAAGAATGTGCTTCTGCATTAGCCCTATAGTAAAGTCAATGCAATGTGTTAATTTTATCTTCCTGCACAACTATCTGAAATGTGTATCCTAGCACTGCTAACCTTATTACTCAGAGCCCTTGTCAGCATCTATGCACATATTGCAAATTTCTACATAACAGCCATTGTAGTGATCTACATCTAAAATGTTGAAGCAACACCCCAGAACGTTTTAGTAACTGGCACCTAGACAGGACCAGTGGTTTTATGTACCCACCCTAAAGGATGATGAAATAAAACAAAACAGACAGAAGAAAACCCTCAACATCATAATCTCATGAAAAACATTCTGGCATTTTAATAGAATCTCTTCAATAATTTAAAACAAAATGCTGAGGTGTTTCTATAAAATAGTACTTAGGGTGGGTGATTTATCAGCATAGAATCCAATATGGATTAACTGGGGAACTCCTATCTTCTGAATTCCTTCCCTGCCAAGGACACACCATTATAAATGGTTAAATGCTTAAGTACCGTGAAAGACATCTAAAGAAAATGCGTAACACATTTTTTTCCCCATGTGATTTATATATACACAAGTGAACAAACATGTATAAAAACTTGAGTAAGAGAATAATGGTGTAGCAAATACTGGGAATAAGATTGTCTAATGTGCCCATTCCTTTGCATAGGTTCTGCAAACTAAGCCCCGACAGGCAGAAGCAATTAACTTCTAACAAAATTGACTCAAATGTATTGGGGTAACAACAAGATGCTGTTCAAGATGGGACCAATCGAATGGCTAACATCCTTCTAGCACCCCAGTATGAAGATTTCCACCCAACTGGATATTAAAGAATGTTCCCTCCCATCTTGTCAGGGATAAATAATTCTCTGTAGTGGTGTACTTGTATCCCAAAAGGTAGGTGGGCACAAGATCTATAGCAGAGGGATCTGTTTACTGGAGCATTAGCAAATTATTACTTGTGTCTTGTGTGTAACCTTTAACTCTCCTTGAGAAAAGTATACTAGGATGTTCAGAGCAGCAGGAAATGCCACTTCTGCCCAACACCATTTAGCTGCCTGGAGCTAAATAATATAAATACAGTCATGTTTAGCAGTCAATGTGCACACAGTACTTTGACATATTAGATATCAAACTACATTTTAAGTCCACATTTTGTTCCCTACTAGCCTACATTGTGTAAGCAGACAGGGTTTCTTTCCTCATTTCTCTTAAAAATCAAATAAATGATTTGTGTGATTACTTTTCACCGGCTTAGATTTATTCTCCCTAAATCCAGTCACATATGTTTGAGCTGCCTAGGCTGATTGATAGCTATACGTTACAAATCACTTTTATATCCAAATGCGGTCGCCTTTCAAAACACTGCAAGAAAAAACACAGAATGTTTATATAAAAATGTATTTTCCTGACAAATCCCCTTTTCATCACAGTTTTACCTCTTATAACAAAACTGCAGCCTATATGCTATACCAGAAAGTAAACACAACAAGACTGACGGCACGCACTCCATGTCGTGACAGGAATGTGTTGGTTTGCCCATTTTACCTACAATATACTTTTAGATGCAGAGTGCGTTGTGGTGTGCCGCACAGGGGAGTCTATTCATTTGAATAAGCAGCCTACCGCAGCTAAATCTCACTAAAAGAAGTGCAAGCACCATATTTTTTTTTTATCGCAGTGGACCACATCACATGGTAGTAGGTTAGCTACCATGAGATGTAGTGTGATACGATGGCTTGGTGGTGTTGGGGTGCCATCAAGAAATAAATAGTGACACCAGGTTTTGTAAGACAGCAAAAAAGCTTACTGAATTATGAGAAATACTTGACCTGTCCATCAGATTAATTTACTTATAAATTAACAAGAAGGGCTTGGTAGAAAGATGCTTTGAACACTGCACAATCCACAGGTTTGTAAGAAGCCTCACTTGTCTTGCTGACTTGTGGTATGATTAATGTCTACTTCAGGACCACCAGTTTGTATAGATTCCAGTAGGTTATTACAGATTAAATAAAATAAAAATAACAAAGTATTTGAAGTTGCAAGCAAATGTCTGTAAACTGAATGCATTTGTGTTTTTATTTTTATCTGATTAATAATCACATTTATTAAACAAAATGACTTAAAAGTGATTAACAGAAAACTATGCAAACTCTTATTTTAATTAGCAGAACCTGATTTATTGGTTAAAATCTTACCCGTGCACACTGGCAATTGGGCCAGAGGCAACATGTTATCAAATAAAATAACTGCCTCCACTTCAACACATGACAGGCAATGAAAAATATGTTCAAGACTCATGAGATTTTAAAAGCACATTCAAGTACCTATGATCACAGAGGAATAACACAGGCTCCAAATCAGTCACATGGAGGGAAATCGCAGCAATGTTCTTTAGCTCATTCATTTCAATAGGAAGAACCAATTATCCGCATGCTGTAGTATAATCAATTGATTTCAAGCTAATTTTGGTGTAAGGTACCTGTGGAAGGTAGAGTCCGAAGTGGAGCAAGGCTGAGGTTTAGGTTAGGCGGTGTCAAGCAGACAGAGTCAGCAACAAACTGGCGATGAGGTACAAAAATCAGGATCCAGGAGAGTAGTCGAGAAACAGGCCAAGGCCCTAATAATATCCAGCAATCAATCCAACAGCAGCACATACAGGAACAAACCCAAATAAACAGGCTCAGAGCAAGGGAAATGCTCAGTATTTGAAGGCTATGCTGATTGCAGATTGACTGCAGCTGGTAACTAGGTGGAGCTGAAGAGCCCAGAGGAAAACTGCTGTGCAATGATCTGTAGGGAGAGCTGAGTAAAGATGGGCACACACCTTACAACCATCGCAAGACTTTTGTCTTGCGATGGTTGTAAGGTAATTTTTAAAAACGTACGATCTGCCTATCTTGGACAGGCAGATCGTACTTGCGATGATCGCAAACCCGCCTCGCTTGCGCACACCGACCCGTCCGGCTTTTATCTTCCGAACATGCTACACACCTGCCGAAAATCGTATGATTCTCGGCGGGTTTTCAAACATGTTCGTAAGATAAAGGTTGTGCGACCTTACAGTAGTAGAGGTCGCGCGGCTTCCACACACCTTACGATAATCGTATGATCGCGGGGTTTCCCGCGATTATCGTACGATTATCGCAAGGTGTGTGGGCACCTTTAGCCTGGTGGCTGAAAGCTAAATCTGCAGCACCACCACCTCAGAGACCCAGGTTCAATTCCTCACTGCTACAACATGGGTGCTGGGCAGGCAGGCACCTGACATTTGGCCTGCTACTATTTATTAAGGGCCTTGCACATCACAGATAGCCTCAATATTTCTCTCAGTAAAGCTTTCTTTAAAATAATTTTTCAGACAAAGAATTTGCACAAACATGGGCATCATAAATGTGGCTACTTTGGTGGTCTTTGTATTGGGTAAAAGCACAGTTTGTAAGAAGCATTGTCTTGTTAAAAATAATAAGACTGTTCATTGGCAGTAAAACCTTTCCTAAGATGTTGAAACCATAAATAACAACACAATAACAATAACAGCGCAACATTATAAACCCCATTACAGTATCTACAGGAGGAAACAGGAAGCAAAACCTTTGACCTTTATATAATATTTATATAATTTCTGCAAAAAAACGTTGCAAAAATAACAATTAATATAAATCACACAAATGTGAAATCACAAGATCACGGAACTAACCAGTGTGCGTCCATCCCCTTTGTGTGGTACAGCTGACATTTTACCTAATGGTCATGGCTCCATCTAGCCAAAATGCTGCAGAATCTTTAGGCAGAATTCCATGAAAAAAAGTTAACCTTTGCAGCTGGTCCCCTACACACTGCAAGGGTAAATTGTTTGTTCTGTATAGGGGTAGAGGAATAAGCAAAAATGCTTACCTTATTTTTCACTCCCCCTTGTATGACTGGTCTCTGAAGCCGCTTCTTTCACCATTCAACCACTTGTGGCCTCAGTAAAAATGTTCAACCAGTGATCCTATACTGTATGTGAAGATGTCAAAGCGTAGGAAGAGCACTCCAGGGGGGAGAGGAAAATGGTATTTATGTTTATTTCTCTTTCCCGAAATAAAATATACACCTAGCCTCTGCAGTGTGAAGGGTGACCCCCTGCAAGGTATATATATATATA